CCCCAAATCACCCCAAAATCCCCCCAAACCGACCCCAAACCCCCCCAGCCCCCCACCTTGTCAGCGAACACCATGATGCCGTAGTCGGTTTTGCCCCTCAGGGCTCTCCCCACACATTGGGCCGCGTGTCTCATGGCGTCAAAGGTCAGGAATTCGCCCTCGCGCACCTGGAGCTGCTCCCTGAGGAATTCCAGCCGGGCCTGAAGGGGTTAAAAGGGGTTTGAGAACCTTCCAGGTGTGCCCAGGTATCCCCAGGTGTACCTGGAGGTGCTCCCTGAGGAATTCCGGCCGGGCCTGAAGGGGTTAAAAGGGGTTTGAGAACCTTCCAGGTGTCCCAAAACCCCCCCCAGGTGACCCCAGATGTGTGTCCAGATGTTCCCAGGTGCCTCCAGGTGTGCCCAGATAATCCCAGGTGTGCCCCAGGTGTCCTCCAGGTGACCCAAAACCTGCCCCAGGTACCCCCAGGTGACCCCAAACCCCCCCCCAGGTGTGCCCAGGTGTGTCCCCAGGTACTCCCAGGTGTCCTCAGGTGACCCAAAACCCCCCCAAGTGTGCCCAGGCGTCCCCCAGGTGTCCCCAGGTGTGTCCTCAGGTATCCAGAGGTGCCCTCAGGTGACCCAAAACCACCCCCAGATGTCCCCAGCTACCCCCAGGTGTGTCCCCAAGTATCCCCAGATGTGCCCAGGTGTATCTCAGGTGTGCCCAGATGTGTCCAGGTGTCCCCCAGGTGTGTCCAGGTGTCTCCCAGGTGTGCCCAGGTGTTCCCAGATGTGCCCAGGTGTCTCCCAGGTGTCCCCAGGTGTTCCCAGGTGTATCTCAGGTGTGTCCAGGTGTTCCCAGGTGTCCCCCAGGTGTGCCCAGGTGTGTCCAGGTGTCCCCCAGGTGTCCCCAGGTGTGTCCAGGTGTCTCCCAGGTGTGCCCAGGTGTCCCCAGATGTGTCCAGGTGTCCCCCAGGTGTATCTCAGGTGTCCCCAGATGTGTCCAGGTGTCCCCCAGGTGTCCCCAGGTGTGCCCAGGTGTCTCCCAGGTGTTCCCAGGTGTATCTCAGGTGTCCCCAGATGTGTCCAAGTGTGTCTCCAGATGTGCCCAGGTGTCCCCTAGGTGTGCCCAGGTGTATCTCAGGTGTCCCCAGGTGTGTCCAGGTGTCCCCCAGGTGTCCCCCAGGTGTGCCCAGGTGTCCCCAGGTGCCCCCCAGGTGTGCCCTGACCTTGAGGATCCGGCTCTGGGTGTAAACGTAGGGAACCCCAAACATGATCACGGCCCGGCCATAGTGATGGACT